ATATAGGTTATATATGGGAAAGGATATCCTTAGATTTGCACCGTGAGGGGTGTTTGAAAGTCCAGCTTTCCCAGGCAACCTGGTCATCACTCACAGGTCACGTGGCCCTTCTCCGTACATGCCGAAGGGCTGCTATACTGTAAGAATGCTTAACGACTTTAAAACATCTCTATAAAGTGGGGAAGTACTTTTATCTTCACTCTTATCTTTCAGCTCTCCATCTAAAAGAGAAATTTGTCTGCCTGAGTAATTTTAGTACACTTAAGCTGTGACTCTGGCCTGTTGTAGTTACAACACAACTATCCAACAAGAAAGGAGACACTCTTGTTGTAGAATAAGAATGTATTTCATTTGATGTAGTACAGAGAGTTTGAAGGTTGTTTGAGATAAGCTAGGAAAGAAAAAATAATGACTGGAGAAAGTTAGACAGTAATCTAGCGATAGATAAGGGTGCTAAATTTAACCCAGCTTCAATTCTTACTATAACCACTGAGACATCCTCATTGTTAATGTTCAGAGAGGACATCTGAGGAGGATGAGCTGTACCTCTGTGGAGTGACAGGTCATACAGGTAATGGCTTCTGTGGCTAAAAAAAAATCTGTAAATACTTGCAGATTACAGCTCCTCTCATTTGAAGAGGGCAAAATTAAGCTGTAATCCACAAGTATTGTTTTTAACGTCAAAATGAACAAGTGAGGAGTGGTTAATCTTCAAATTTCTGAATATGAAAAGATGGAAAGTCAAGTTTCGTGTCCCCTCCACAAAAACAAGTAGCACTGTTCCCTCTTACACCCTTGCATGCTATTTCATATAATGTCTTGGCATTTAGGAAGTCTTTCGTTTTAAAATGAAAGGTATTACAGTTATAAAATTTCGTTAACTTTATATAGTTTTCCTTATTACAAAGTATTAGCCCACAGAAATGGAAAATATATCATATGGTAGTAGCTTGTACAAAACTTCATGAACATAAAGCTTTCTGATTTCAAAATGAACTATAGAGTTTGTTTTTTTGTTTTTGTTTTTCTTCAAGAGCTTGTTCAGATGTTCATTTGCCTCTATAGATTCATGTGTAAACAGGTTATTTTGTTCTCACAAGCATCTTGAAGTAACTATGTATAAACAAACCGACACATGCCTTAGGGATCGCTTCTGTTGTAGTGACTGTCCCTTACAGCTGTGGAGGTGACAGTTCGGAGTGTAGGCTCCCAGATGTGCTCGAGTCTCGATGGCCGGTTAATTCTTAGAAAATTGCACCAAATTGTAAACTCTTTTTCCAACTTTGAAAAAGTAAAGATAAAGCACTGCTGACAAAAGAATAAAGTTAGAGAATGTTTCAGTTTCATGGCAGGAACCAGTTCTCTGACTCTGGAAAGCTGACTTAAGTATCAGTAAATATATCATCCCCCTTTCCATACTTGCTTGTTTGAAGCTGTCACATCAAGCCAGATGAAAATAATCTGACTGTGCTGACTGTTGTATTGAAGAAGCTGTACTGTTCATACTGAATGAATGGAATAAAAGTCAATAACGATGCTACATTTTTTTTTTTCTGTTCAACTCATCTTGAAGGCATTCTTGTGTTGGATGCCTCTTCCTGAAGCAGGGACATTTATTTAGCTTTCAAATTCAAAGCAATGTGGTTTTTGTATCCCGCTAATGATTAGATTTTGCATAAATATTAGATAAAGTTAAAGGCTGTTCTTCAAACTCGAAACAACATGCATAGGAAGTGACTCTGAACCTTTTGAATCAGCTCTCTGCCCTGTGATTTTTTTCTTGGACAGTACACGAAGAGGGGAATAGTTATATCCACTAGAGATTTGTAGAAATTTTCCTACTATACAGGACAAAACATTTTGGAAAGCTTTCCAGATTAAAATAGAACACGGGGAGAGGCTTATAGCCTAATTAATTTTTAGCTGAGGAGTTTCTTGTTTGATTTTTGTACTGTAATACATTTTGTGAAGAATTGCACAGTAAGAAAAAAGTATCTTGGCAGTCATCGGGCATTCAGTAACAGCTTGAGCTTCTTCATTATTTTCTCTAAGAAACCTGTTGAGCAATCATACTACAGCAACAACTTCTTCCTGCAAGCAAGAAATATTTAAGTCATGCAATAGATCTGGACAGTACTGAAGAAGAAATGGTTGTTCACGTATGGCAGTTCTTCGAGATGAGTTGTTCTTAGTGCTGTTCTGAGACTTACCCTTCGGTTTCACTGATGTGTGGAGTATATTGATGTTGAGATTCTTTGCAGTGGAACAAAGATTGGGTTAGGATGGTGGTTTTCTCCCTTTTTGGAGTTGAGATTTGAGAATATGTGTTAATGTTGCCTGAAGAACACTGATGTCTATAGACTGTTTCAAGCATATCATGTGTGCCCATCACATGTTGCAAAAATAGTTATTTCATTGATGAGGACAGCTTTTCCAAAAGCTAAGTTTACTGGAACACATTCTTGCTAACTTGTGGAGTAAATTTTTAATGAAGTTACTTTCTCCTTTGCTATTAAACAGGCCATATGAAGTAAGGAGAATGTAACTGCATAAAATCAAGACAAGAATCATGGATAGAAAGTCTTAGCAAACTTAACAAACAATTAGAAAAACTGAACATGCCACCATACATGCTTTTTGTAAATACTGTCAGATGGTTTTAGGTTTTATATCCTTTTAAACTTTTTGAGAAGTAACCTTGCAACTTGAAGAGAAATTAGCATGGGTTTTATAACCTAGTTTGTTGCCATATGACCAGATTCTTATGAATAACTGGATCCTCTATAGTCTTGGTATATCCCTGTGAATAAACAAAATTTCATATTTTATAATAAATGAATTTTCTAAAAGAAAGATCTATTTTCTAAAAGAAAGATCTTAGTAATATGTTACTAGAGAGGGAGGAGTGGGTCGCCCTGACTCAGTATAGCATAAAAAAAAAAAACATTAACAACATCTTGGCTGGAGTCCCAGAGTATGTAATATTCCAGAGTTACTTTTAGAAGGATAGAGAATCCTTTCCCGTGTACGTCTGAGTTGTGGATATGTGTGCCATCATGTCTAACTCCTTTGCATTGCATGAGGGAAACTCTTTTTAGAATTGGTTATTTGCAGTCCTCAGCACCTAAGGAAACCATGCATGCAGCAGAGTTGCTGTAGGTCATGTGAATGAAACAGAAACTGCAAAGTAGAGAACTTTATAATAATTCTGTTTGTTCTCTTTTCTGCTACTACTCTATTGAATAAAAAAAAAGAAAAACTATACATATTCTCCAAATGGGAAAATAAAAATGGGAAAGATTATAGTCTCATCTTAAATATATGTCTGTGGAGAGAGTAGTTCAAGTAACTTTTTGAACTGGATAATTTTACCAATCATTCTATTTTAAAACTTGTTTTTCCTAATAGAGTGGGAAAGGTTTGAGATGTGTTTACAGTAGGTCGCTATGTATCCAGGTTTAAAACATATCTATTGATATGTATGTATTGAATATAAGCAAATTTCATTCCTTTACTCAGAGCTGCTTTTTGCCATATCATTATTTGACCCAATTTCCTGTAGGTTTCAAGCTCTATGAGTGTTTGTTTATTTCAGTGAATTTGCTCAGGCTGCATAAAATTGAGCGTGTGTGTTAGAGAAACATGGTCAGAGGCCCTTTGGCGAGTGCTCTGCATCTGAGGAAACTGTCTCTAAGCACTTCCCTCGGGTCTGGGGTGGATGAAAGCTAACTCCAGAAGCTGAATAGTCCTTCTAAGAGACCTGGATGGCTAATGCAGGGACATCACCAGTCTGCTGCAGCGAGACAACTTCCAGATTATTAGGCAAATTTGGTGTTCAACTCCTAAAAGGAAATAAATAAGAGTGACCACAGGTGGGGGTGAAGCACAGAGACAAGGTGTCTTGGGAGATAACTTTTTTTTTTTTTTTTTTTTTTTTGGGAGCAGGTGAAGTGAATGCAGCTAAAAAGTAAATGCAATTAAAAAGAATTCAGGGGGTGATATTTTTGCCTTTTTTTTAATGCAGTAATCTGCAGATGATTTCTTCTCTGTCTATAAATTATACATTTTACCTCGGGGAAGGAGAGATAGGCACTTATGACAAAGGTGTTTGTTCTTTTTTGAAAAAGATTAACAGTTCTGTCAGATAATCCCGAAATCTATGTAACAGGCTGTCTGGTAAATAAAGATAAAACTTCAAAACAAACCCCAAAGAAACACTGAACCAATTTGCTGTCACTTACAAAATACTTCATGGTAAATTTTGGAGATCATTAGGAAGACTGACTTTATACAGGGCTAGTATAAATTGCAAAATGTGATGAGAATGGTGAGATGTTGTCTAACCATATGCTTCCGGGGAAAAAGTGATGTTTTCCAGTTTGTTGTTTTTCTCTATTAAACAAAAAACCTTCAACTTTGTTGTATAACAAAATTATGCAAAAATCCTATTATGGAAGTATTAGTAGGAGAAAGAAACGACTTGAAGCAGAGTTGAGATGTCAGCAATTTGGCTTTTATTTAAGGATATTAAGAATATCCTCTACCTACTGGTAAAGGGGAAATTGATGCCATGCATGCACTAGAGAATATGTTTGGAATGAAGAGAACTATCATGAGATAGAATGAAACCTACACTCTCAGGAAAGAAAAACACTATCGACAGAATGAGAGAAGGAACCGAAATGAGACTAAATTTTTTGAAGTGGAGCAAGGATGTATTTTTACAAAAGAAATGCGCTAATTTGTGTTTGTTCCATTTATATGCTTAATAAAAAGAATTTTCATGGAAGGAGATATATGTGCAATACATTATGTTAATTTATAGATGCAGTGTGACCACTGTACACAACTGTAGAAAGAGCTGTCAAATACATATGTGTATACTTTGCTGTGACATTGTTAGTGGTGGATGTACTGTAAGCAGTTCCTGAGAAAGGAAACTCTTGGGTCCTTTTATTATCTTCAAATTCACATGTATTCTTCTTACTCTCCATTAATAGGTAGCATAGATCAGTCAGTGCTAAAGGAGTTGCCTCCTGAGCTCCTGGCAGAAATTGAATCCACCATGCCACTTTGCGAACGTGTGAAAATGAACAAGCGCAAACGTAGCACAGTTAATGAGAAACCCAAATACGCTGAGATCAGTTCTGATGAAGACAATGACAGTGAAGAAGCTTTTGAATGTAAGTAGAATATAATTCTGTTTCTACTGCCAAAGAAGGTTAATATTTTGCTTTTACCAAAGGTGTGTGTGTGTATATATATATATAAATATACATATATATTTTGTCTAACCTAAATCATATATAAACAAGATAAATTTGGTGTCTAGGCAACTACTTGGCCAAGTAACTTTCTTATTAAAAAAAAAAAAAAAAAGGCACTTAATTACAGTTCACACTCAAGATGAAATTTTCTCTTTACCTTATGGGAAGCCACTGCCTATATCTTTCTTTTTATAGTTGTGCTATGAAATTTTTAACAATCAGATCAAAGGAAATACCATGTGAAGCAGCTCAGAAAATTTATATACAAAGCTATGGAAAGAAAATGTCAATTTAAAATTAAAAATCATTACTTAATTTCATTGGTAAGAAAAGCAAATCAGCCACTCTTGGATCTTTCTGGTGTGATACTTTGAGAATATTATTGTCTAGAAGTTTCTTCAAACATTTTTTCTAGTGTTTTCCTGGTGTATTGCTGGGTAAACTGCCAGTTACTTCTGATGGATTCTCAGAGTGGCGTTTGCTCCTGATACTGGACTTGAATTAAGTGTTTTCAAAGGAATAGAGAAAGCATGGGTTCAGAATTTTGTGGTGTCATCAGGTAATGAACATGTGTGTTAGGAAAAAAATAAGTTGTTGTATACAGCTAGGTTAAGAAGGGATTTCCTACATGCTATTAAGAATATGGTTAGTTTGTATCCATGGGAATTCAATTAACACTGAAAAGAAACACTTCAGAGTGAATACCTCGTTAACTGTGTTACTTATACAATGCTACAGGAGACGTTGCTGCTGTTAACCTCCAAAAGGAGCTCATTTAATGATTTCTTTTTTAGTTTAATTTTTTTTTTGCTTTTGCTTGTATAAACTTTATATTGAACATATATCAAACACAAAAAGTTCTTCTTCTTAGACTCCAAAAGAGATTTTATGGTCCTGATTTTTAAGTTCTCCTTTAATTGATATGTAGTATTTCTACATCCATCACATACAAAATTGTAATTGATTTTAGATCTTTCTCAGAGAAGCAGAAAAGAATATCCCTTTTTTGTTTCCTTTTGTTTTAAAATACTGCCAAAATGATGTTGATTTTGCTGTCAGTATGAGATCTTGAGGTGACATTCTGCAGCTCTTAATATGGCAAAGCAGTAATGGTAATTTGCTTCTTTCAGGTTTGTATCTTAAAATCTCTGTTTACTTTGTAACATCCCCTGCTGTTGATATTAGTAAAGAAAAGGGAAATAAAGAGTAAAACAAAATTGCTTAATTTGGTTAGGAAAGGAGAGGATTCTTAGAAATTTCAGGAGCGTCCTAGTAATATAGCCATTAGTGACAGTAGTTGCTGAAATTCTTAAATACAGGAAATTAAGGGGAAAAAATCACAATAATTTTATGCTTCAAGGGACTAGATTCATTATGTCAACTTAAGAGATCCTAACATGTTTCTGAACAACTCAGTGAAGACATCTGCTTTAAAGGGAAATGATATTATCTCTCAAAAGGTACTGCAGAACTGAACTGAAAACAAGAGACAATGTGATGATTTATGTCAAACAAACTAAATAGATTTGTACTGTTATAAAAATACATATTTCATATCTATTTTGTATGACTGAAACTTAGAAAAGTATATAAAAAGTGATTGTTGTAGGAGATAAATTTCTTTGAGCAACTCATGAAGATGGGTCAGTGCAAAAAACTAAATGATAGGAAATTTAAAATTAGTCAAAGGAAATCCATCTCATACTGTAAATTCTAGATGGGTTTTTGCATAAATGCTTGGTAACCTTCAGAAGGAAATTGGATATTTATATTCTGGATATTCTTTATGTATGAAATTAATAATTTTGAAATGTTATTAAAACTGTCTTTTCAGTCAATCTTAATGACATCAGAATAATACTTGGTAGAGCAGTGATTAGATTCTGAGTAGCTGTTTCTGTGTCCATCTTATTTACCTTGAAGAGCCAACACAATCTGTGTAGTTATGCAGCACTGAGAAATGGTTAGTTTAAGTTTCCACTGAAAAGAAATATTGGAAGCTACCCTTCTCATGAAGTTGTAGCTGGGATCAGCTACCAAATCCGTTCCTCCTAGTTTGATGCTGAAGAAACCAGCGAAAACTGTTATATGTTTCTGAACTAAATAATAAATAAACAAATTTGGTCTGGAAATCACTGAAGGAATGAATAATGATTTTTTTTTTTAGAATTGCTTTTGGGAACAACAATACTCTGCAATATAATTACTCATTCCTTAGGCCAGTATAACCTCAGGTTCAAAACTTTTTATTTTGATTAGAGTGGAAAAAATGATTTAGTTTGAGCCTAGAGTGACTACAGCTTATATCCTAGCATGTATGATATCCTCTTTCATATGCTTCTCGGTAAACTGGGGGTTTTAGAAAGTACTATTACAGTTTTGTGTAAGTGTTTGGAGTCAGTTTGCTCAGAAACAACCCAATATACAGTCTCTCAAAACTCAAAGAGAGTTGGATAGAATGCTTAAGGTTGGAAGAGACCCTCTAGAGGTCACCTAGTCCAATCCCCCTGCACATGCAGGGTCACCTAGAGCACGTGGCACAGGGCTGCGTCCAAGCGAGTTTGGAAGATCTCCAGAGAAGGAGACTCCACAACTTCTCTTGGCAACCTGTTCCATTGCTCTGTCACCCTCACTGTTAAAAAATTTTTCCTTAAGTTCCTGTGGAACTTTTGATGCTTCTGTTTCTAGCCATTTCCTCTAGTTCTGTCAGTGGCCACCACTTAAAAGAGGCCAACACCATCCTCCTCCCTGCCTCCCTTGAGGTACTTAGATGCACTGATTAAATCCCCTCTCAGGCTTCTTCAGGCTGAACAGGCCCAGCTCCCTCAGACTCCCCTCGTAGGGCAGATGTTCCCTGATCATCCGTGTGGCCCTGCACTGGACTCTCTCCAGCAGCTCCACATCCCTCTTGTACTGGGGAGCCTAGACCTGGACACAATACTCCAGATGTGGCCCCACCAAGGATGAGTAGAGGGGCAGGATCACCTCCCTCGACCTGCTGGGGCGGCTCTTCTTAATGCCACCCAGGGTCCCCCCGGCGTCCAGGTCCCTCTGGATGGCAGCGCAGCCCTCTGGGGTATCAGCTACTCCTCCCGGTTTGGTATCATCAGCAAACTTGCTGAGGGAGCACTCTGTGCCTTCATCCAGGTCATTGATGAATAAATTGAACAGGACTGGACCAAGGACTGACCCCTGGGGGACCCCACTAGCCACAGGCCTCCAACTAGACTCTGCACCGCTGATCACCACTCTCTGGGCCCTGCCATCCGGCCAGTTCCTAATCCATCTCACTGTGCACTCATCTATCCCACACTTCCGGAGCTTGCCCAGGAGGATGTTGTGAGGGACGGTGTCAAAAGCCTTGGTGAAGTCGAGATAGACGACATCCACCGCTCTCCCCTCGTCTATCCAGCCGGTCATTTCATCATAGAAGGCTATCAGGTTAGTCAGGCAAGATTTCCCCTTGGTGAATCCATGCTGACTACTCTTGAGCACCTTCTTGTTCTCCACGTGCCTGGAGACAATGGCCAGTATGAGCCATTCCATGACTTCTCTGGGGATGGAGGTGAGGCTGACTGGCCTGTAGTTGCCTGGGTCCTTCTTGCCTTTTTTGAAGACTGGCATGACATTGGCCTTCTTCCAGTCTTCTGGCACCTCCCCTGTTCTCCAGGATCTTTCAAAGATGATGGAGAGCGGCTTAGCTATGACAACCACCAGCTCCTGCAGCACTCTGGAGGGGTGAAAGAGGACCATCTATAATCATATCCTATCCTCACTTCCCCACTACCATGCTCCTGCTGGATGCCAACTGACTTTGGCTGCGTGGTACTGATTGCCCTGTCTGTGTGACACTCCCCTTCCCCCTTCTTGCCTAGTTTAAAGCCCTCCTAACCAGCTTGGCCAGCCTTTTGGCAAAGAGACGTGTGCCCCTCTTGCTGAGGTGGTTCCCACCATTGCCCACTAGCTGGTAGTCATCAAACAGAGTCCCATGGTCATAGAAGCCAAAACCCTGTTGCCAAGACCAGTGGCACAGCCAGTTGTTAATCTGCCATATCCGCCTTCTCCTCCTTGAATCCATTCCCCTTGTTGGTAAGATAGAGGAGAACACACACACACACACACACACACACACACACACACACACGCTAGTGTTGATATCAGTGAGTTCACAGAAATAATAAAATCTGCTAGTCTAGAATTTAATGCTTTGGAGCCATTTTCATCTTCACAGCAAGTTCTGTATTTTATATTTTATTTGTTAGCTTAGTTATCTTAGAGAATGGATGATTGGATGAATTCATGGATGAAACAATATATCCTCCTCATTTTTTAATAAATCTTAGCACGTTACCCTTCAAGGCACAAGACTGTCTTTAAAAACAGTAAAGACTTCCTCCCCACCCCCTAGATGTCTAACTTCATCAAAGCTCTCTTTCTCTGTACCACATTCATCCAGTTTTCTTCACTGTTCAGTTCTGCTAGTTTATTTTGGTCCCAACTGAAAACTGGTTGTGTTTACCTCCTGTGGTGCATATGCACTGTCTGGCTCAGAGGCTGAAGCTCCTGCCGAACTGAATTCTGTACAATATGTACACTGAATACACTGAATTCTGTACAATATGTATCAAGGCAAATTTTTAGGTATCTTGGCAAAATAGAATATCCTTAAGAAATTAGATCATCAAGTCTCATTGGAACTTGCTGCATTGGATGGATAAAACTGAACTTGAACTTGGGCACCTACTATAGCCACAGTCTAGGTAATTGAAGAAACTAGCTTGGTATCATTTCATTAAGGGAAAGGAGGAAAATTATTTTGATCTGTTCTGCTTTCTTTACTTTGTTTAAAAGGACAGATGCTCATTAACTTGGTAATTTGAAATGTTTGCCCTTTTTTTTTTGCCAGTTTAAAGCATTTTTTGCAGTTTTATGTTATTTAAAATGAATTATTAGAGCAATGCCATTACAGAATTTTATACTGTTGTTTTAATGTGTTCACATGTTCAAAATGCGTTTGTACAACAGGATTTAGTTTTAATTTGAAAATGAATTATTTTGAGCTGTAGAAGTGTAAGTCTTGTACCTAAAATGAAAATGCCCTTCATTTCTAGCTTCTCGAAAAAGACATAAAAAGGATAGAGATGCAGCCTGGGAGTACGAAGAACATGACAGAAGAAGTTCTGGTGATCATAGGAAAAGCGGTCACTACCATGAAGGAAGGAGGACTTCTGGTAGCAGTCGTTACCGTAATCGCAGTCCTGACGACTCTGACATGGATGATTATTCTCCTCCTCCGAGCCTCAGTGAAGGTAACTCATCAGTATAAAAGCTTTCTTCATTCCATAATACTAGTGCAGCATTAAAATATATGTTGAGCATTTTAAAATAAACATCTTTGCACACATTATTTACTGTAAGCATAAGAAATGTAAAAACAAAATCAATTTTTAAAAGTATTATTTCTTTCATTCTTTAATTAGTGGCTAGAAAAATGAAGAAAAAAGAAAAACAAAAGAAAAGGAAAGCTTATGAACCTAAATTAACACCTGAAGGTAATCTTTTGAAGTTGTATTTTCTTTTTACAGTTTGTTTTTTTTCTTTTTCATAGATAATTATACATGCTCCTTTTTTTTTTTCCTCCAGAAATGATGGATTCTTCGACTTTCAAAAGGTTTGCTGCTTCAATAGAGAATATTTTGGAAAATTTGGAAGACATGGATTTTACTGCTTTTGGTAATATGTCAGAATTTTTCAAAATACTTACTGTATTATAGCTTGAAGAGGCAACAAAAAAATCAATATTTTCAATATTCCTTTTTTGGTGTGATTTAATTGCTTGTGGTACATAACTAGGGTATGCGGTGTTTATGCCTGTTTGCTTTACCTTTCCATTTCACTTGCTGCTGCAGGAAGAAAATCGTTTTCCCTGCATAATACGAAAGACACAGAAGAATTAAAATGACAAACAA